TCCCCTTTTCTTGCTTCCTTTGCTGTCACGAACAGTAGCATGATAAGCAGTCACGCCACCCGTGTCTCTGTAGACCAGTGACTCTCAACCTTCCGCATGCTGCGACCCCTTAATACAGTGCCTCGTAATGTGGTGACCCCCACACAACGCTGGTTTTTTTTGCTACTTCATTTTCATTGCTACTTTTAACTGTAATTTTGATATTGTTGTGAATCATAATGATAAATATCTGTGTTTTTTAATGGTGTTAGGTCATTTGACCCCAAAGCGGTCACAACACACAGAGATCTGCAATAGACAATACCTTTCATTTCCTTTGAAAGATGTGGAGATTAAAATGTAGATCAAGAATGTACAGAAGGCCACTCTCTCATAAGGAGACCATCCACCAGCACACTTGGGTGGGTCTCTCTTTCTGAGACTTTCCTTTGAGAAATCCCCCTCCATGCTTGCAGGCATGTTTTACTTTCTTCCTAGCACCCCTCTTTCTTCTAACCCTCATGCTTATGTCGTGTGAAGATATCTTTATTAAACCCCAACTCTGCTTCATTAAAAAATTGTGTGAAAGCAGTCGGCTCATTTCAAGAATTGCCTTCTAGGTTTCTGATGGTGTCTCACTGACCATGTGTGAAAGCGCCTTTGCCTGCCTCTTTACCAGTTCTGGGCACCGGGTCTTTGCCACCCTTCCTGACTGCTGCTGGATATGGTGGCACATGCCTGTCATCCCCGTACTTGGGAGGCTGAAGGATTAGGAATTCGAGGCAATTCTCAGCTACATGGTATACTGGAGGCCAACTTGAGCTTCATGGGAACTTGTGTCAAGAATAAAACCAAAGGAAAATCCAAGACAGCCTCCCTTGCCTGCCCGTGCTCACACTGAGCCCTTTCCATGGGGTTGTGGGCCACCATTTTTCTTAGAAGTTTCCTTTTCATATATTTCACCTGTTTTTGTTTTTACTTTTGTAAACAACTTTATTATTTGTGTGCACATGCACGGAGGTCAGAGAACTCTGAGGAGGGGTTTTCTCTCTCTCCACTGTGGACCCGGGATCGGACTCGGCTCCTCAGGCTTGCACTTCTCCCTGCTGAGCCATCACACCAGCCCCATTTCCATACTTTTTTTTAAATTTTTACATGCCTGACTTCAGCAGATATCTTTATACTAAACTTTTGACCCCATATTATATATATTATAAATAACTTTCCTTTATTTCCTTTTCCTTTTGATTTTTGCTGGGGTTGGTAACAGGAGATTTAAAAACATGTGCTTACACTATCAAAGTTTTCCTTCAAGCTCAGCTGCTTTTTGCTCAACATCTTCATACCCTGGGTAATTATGCAAACATTTACTTTTCTAGAAATTTTATATTTTCATGCTCACATTAAAGTTTTCAGGTCATCTGGAATTTGTTTAACTGTAAAGTGTAAGATAAAAATCAAACTTAATCGTTTCTCTAAGCAGCTAGCCAGTTATCCCAGCATCATGATCGGAATGGTCATTTAATTTAATGCTAAGTTCATGCCGGAGTCTGGCTCTGTTTGGGGCTCTGTTCCTTTGCTGTTTGCCAGTTATATTGGTCACACAATTTTTGAATGATTACGCTTTTTTGGTTCGTCCTAAAGTCAGCTCAGGCAGTTTCTGCATTTTACTTGGCTAATCTTGTAGTTTATTCTTCCATATAAAGCTTAAAATTATTTTAACTTAAAAAGTACCGTGGGGATTTTTGCTGGGATTGTACTAAAAGTAAATATTAAATTTAAAATAAGTGATATCTTTACAATGCTCATTTATTTCTCTGTTTAGTAAGAGTGACAGGGTTCCTAGTAATAATGAAATAGCAGCGCGGTCAGGACTGGGCGGCTGTCCATAGCCAAGCCTGTGATGAGTCCCGCCTGCCACACTACGCCTCTAAACAGCCTAGGACACAGATGCTATCGCCACAAGCATCGCACAGAGGAAAACCAAGACACAAAGTGTCAGATAACCTGTTCCAGCAACAGCTGGCGGTGACTGAGCCAGGACTCTTCCCTGGTGTTTGTCTCCAGATGCTGGACTCTAGACCAAGCATTTATTCTCATTTTAAAAATATTCCTCACAAAGGTTTTTCTTATATGTCACTCACATGTCATTTTGTATGCCTGGACAAATAGTTCTCAATAGATTTTGTTTGTTACATTTTCCCTGGATATTTTTATTTTAAAAAAGATTTTATTTACTTATTTTAATATGTATACGTGGGCAGGGGGAGCTGATGCCCTGGCGCTGGAGTTACAAACGGTTGTGAGCCACCTGATGTGGATGCTGGGAACTGCACTAAGGTCCTCTGGAAGAGCAGACAGTGCTCTTAACTGCTGAGCCACCTCTCCAGCTCCCTGGAATGTTTTCTAATGGTTGCCATTGAACTCTGGACAGAGGTAGCAGTAAAAAATTGAGGTGCTTATAGCTGGAAGCAGCGGTGAAGTGAGCACAAGCAGAGAACAGTGATGAATAGGTATGAAAATGTCACAATAAAACCTGTTATTTCTATATGTTAGGTAAAAATTAATTGAAAATAAGAGAAAATTACGGAGGGGCTAATTCTGAAACATTCAGTTTAATAGCCCCCCTTTTGTCTAGCAATGTTGTCTAGCAATAAAGAACTCTTGTTTTTTAGGAATGCAAGATCATTCCAAAGTATTTGAAAGTGTTGTCGTTTTTTCCTGGTGTCTTTAATGATACCATGCATTGTCTAATGTGGCAGAGACTGGCCATGTGAGGCTTTGAACATTTAAACAAAACCAAGTGAAATTAAAATCGAATTTCTCAATCGTACCAGCCAAGTTTCAAGTACCAACAGCCACCTTCCACATGTGGGAACCACACCAGCTAGCTCCCTAGAACACTCCCACCATTTACAAGATGGTGATGCTAGAACCATCAGGTCAACATCGCAGAGGAGGTGGGATGACTCGCTATTTCCTCCCAACTTTAAAGTGACCACCTCTTCATAGTGACATAGTCTTGGAATGACATTGAGTTTCAAATCTGTACATGGAGATGCGTGTCACTGTGTCATGGAGATGCATGCCACTGTGTCGTGGAGATGCGTGCCACTGTGTCATTGAGATGCGTGTCACTGTGTCATGGAGATGCGTGTCACTGTGTCATGGAGATGCGTGTCACTGTGTC